TTTGTTGTTGTCGTAGTTGTAGTAGTAGTGGTGGTAGGAGTCGTAGGTCTTGGTGAGTTCGCAGGGACTAAGTGCTTCAGGTTAGTCTGAGTTTTTCCGAGACATGAAATAATGAAGCAGTACCGTGTCGATATTCAAGGACAGTAGTTCGTTTGAACAATCCCCCCCTGTTTATGTCATGATGGACGCGAATTTGTGTAAGAACGTAAGAATTGTTTCAAACAGCTGCGTCCAGGTGAGCATACGATCAAAATACTGACCTGCTAACTTTTTGAGGGTACAAAACTCACTTCAATCCAGTAGTGACATGTCTCAAAGTCTTCTTGCTCATCACGGCCAAGGCCGACAGTATTCTCAAGTCTCGTCCAATTACTCGAAGCTTTAATTGTATCGCCACACCCTGATGATGGCTAAAGCAAACACTTTTTGCACCTATGCCGTTGTATCTGATTCCTAGCTCACTCTCTCAGTGCACCGCTTTCCGGCATAACCACCGGGGCAGATTCATTTTTGGCAGTCTCGAGGATGAGGAAATCCACCCATTTCGCATTGGACCGATGTAGTTTTTTTACAATTTTCTGGAATTGATAACCAAGCGATAAGGGAAGAGAAAGTATTCATGTTGGTGGAACTGGTTTCATTTGTTAATCATTGCCACTGTGCGTGTTAACGATGGTGGAGGCAGGTGAGATTGAGTAGCGCCACAAAGTGCGGCATGCACCGATGCCGAGGTCTCGCAGCGAACAACATGAACGGCACTACTATTACCTGCTGCAGCCATTTATAGAGAGTAACCAAACGTGAGGGAAGGCCAACAATTAAAATTTTTGCCCATAGTTAGGTGTATGCCTGGTTGCGCGGGAGCTTGCCTGTGAAAGTAGTTTGGAACGGCATCTGGTAATCACTTTGGCGCACTTTCGAGTGACGGAAGTGGTGGAACACTTCTACAGCTGCGCACCTATTTAACAGGCACTTGGCAAGGATTATGATCTTCAAATGTGAGCAAAAGGTATTTCGCAGGTGGCTGTCAAACCTTTGCATCCGTAGTGTTCATTAAGCATTGAAAGCTCGATGAAAGAAATGAATGGAGACCCAAGCGTTTGCTGATAGTCGATATCGAACGGAACCATTGTTGGCTTTTTGTTAAACGATGCACTGAACAATAGTGAAGTCAACAACTAGCTATGATTACCAGCACTGCATATCCGATACCTATCAAAACTTTGTCGCGAATGTTGTTATACGACGACCTATATTCACGCGACAGCGTCATGTTTATGAAGTGAAACATTGGTTTGATTCCTTCCTTCCAAACATACCTAGTTCCACCGTAGTGCATAATGCTGCCGTAATCGTATGTCATGTTGTAGTTGTCGTTTGTTTTCGTTGTTTCTTTGTTGAATTGACTTAGCCAGTCCACCTGAAAGTGTGATCGCTGTCCGTACAACAGCCATTTCGTCGGAATTATTCTTTTCGCTTGGATAGTCGACCGACAAATGATGAATTTTCGGCAAGCTTACATAAGACTCCCTGTATATTGTATACTGTTCGTATATTTGTCGTTTTTGTAGACTGTTGGAATTCTAGTACGTTTGTAGTGCGGCTCCAAAAAGTGTTCGGAACATCCTTTCCGTAATCGGTCATTCAAGTTCTCAAGGTAGTGTGTAAAAGCTGCAGAACACCTGACGCTTTCAGTATTGTAACGAATTTGCTTCAGATCCCGTTGCACCACATTATAATGATCTTCCACAACTTGGCTACCTTCAAGAAAATGTGAATTTCTCGCCTGCTAGTCACACAGTCAATTGGGCCCATTCCTGTTACAGGCTTGCAGCGCGTCACTTCAGGAGTGTCTGATAGTATGAGCGTGCACCGTCGCTCGCGATCGTCGATCCACTGATGCGGCATAATGCATTTCAATGTTCGAGACTGTGAAAGGTCAGTGGTGTTCTGCCCAGAGCTCAAACATTTCATGCAAATTGAGAGCGCGTTGAATGTGAGTCGAGCAATAACGTGGTCTTTCCAGAGTTAGTGAACCAGCGATCTGCTTTGGAAAAAGCAATGCGGAGCTAGCATGAACCGTTAGCAAAGCTGCTGGGGGATATGAATCTAATTAGTAATAATCAGCGTAAACTGGCAGTCTTGACAGATGCTGGCGTCAAAAATCAATAGAATGGGCGTTTTCCACACAGAACGAATGTCGCTCACAACATCGGCAGACATGGGTCAAAGTTCAATGCACAGTAGTGAAACCTTCACTAATACGCAAGGTGCTGGTCCTGTTTCCGTAACACGGTGGTGCAGAAATAATAGAAGAACCGATTATAAAACCTCTGTTGTAAAACCATGTGATAGGGGCACTGGCGAACACTTACTTTGATGTTGTGCTTGTTCACCGTGATGAAGTCGTCGGATCCGTGTCGAAGACATTGTTGGAAAATCCGAGAGAGCGTGACCAGAGCCTCCGTGCGCGGGCGATGATCCCGTTTCACAACCACTTCCTAGTGACAGCTTCTGTTCACCGCCGAGTTTTCCGACGTAGGACCAACATCCATCCTCCGGGAATACCATGATTCGATCTTTGGCTGAAACAACAAACTCTCATGGTGAATCCGAAATGCTGAAAGGGCCAGTACCGTTTTTGGGAATTTCAGAGGGCAGAAAAATAACCATCTCTGTAAATTTCAGTATCATCTTACCGAATGGGTGTGTGAATTGATGCAAGACCGTCCCCTATAAGCTTCGCTCCTTTTTCAAACGAACTTCTCATCTGCCTGCCTTCAATGGTCACAATGTTTGCATTTTGCCCATTTCCAACAAGCGCTACATTTTTACACATACTTGCGAGCTTATGGAAGTAATAATTCACTCCTTCTGACCATAGCATATTTGGATATCTATGATCCTTGAACGCTTGGCGTTTTGCGCGATTTTCACCAGCAACCTCATCTTCTATATCTTGCACAATCTCCTCGGCTTGCTCCCTTCAACGGCGATGGATAAGGAAGTTACGAGATATTACTAGGTGTTGATTAATCGACATACTCTGTTAGCACCATGTCGCTCTGGTAGAGATCCTGGCCAACCTGACTGTATTCGTTGACCTCAGTGATGGAGTCTCCTTTCTCTGCGACTTTATCCTTCTTGATGGTCGGCAAGCGTCTGTCAAATTCAATCCATTGTACAGTTGTATCACTATTAAGCCTACAACGGTGTTTCACGCCAAAGATGTGGAGAATGGTGAGAAGTTGTCCTTTGCCCAGAATTTGGAAGTTCTACTATGCCGTTACTGTCGTAGAGAAGTAAACTTCAACTGTTACCTCAACCTTATCTCGAGGCGATTATTCATCATTTGGTGTAACTCCAATGTCTTCAAAACCTTGTCCTTCATACTTCTGATCTTGTCCCGGATTTTGAACAGTGCCGTGTTTTCGAAGAGCTGTAATTGTATGAGTAGGAAAGCAGAAAGGTCTGTTAGAAATTCAGCCATATGTCTACTGAACTTGGAGACGGCAAAATGAAAAACTGAGACGAATTCGATACAGAGCATCAAAAGACAGAAAGGAAAAGGGAACCTTCTTGAATCCAACGATAGTTGCATTCTTTAGTTTCTCTCCGAAACTGCCTTCACCGGAAAACACTCCTTTCACTTTGTCTATTATGCCTCCATCGGCAGCGGCAATCAAGAATAAGGTGAGCAATATCAGCCTCATTCTGAATTGTGGAAACTATTTTCTGTAATATTAGCTTCAACTCTAGCAATAGATCACATCATTGCGAAGCGGAAACAGAAACCGACAGACAGAAAGATGGTGTGGTGCTGAACCCATCTGCCTTGCTTGCTCTCCGTTTATATCCATCTCCTCCGACTTATGCTTCAGAATAGGACGGCTGACAAAATATGGAACTAATGTCATCTGATAGCGCGGAACCTAAATACAGAAACCCTGAACAAAATCTTGTATGTGTGTCGTTTTCTGTTTGAACAACAACTCATGAAGAAATGGCGTTGGAGTGTTGCATGGCAAGAAGAGATGCTGTAAGCCGACCTGTGATGTCAGAGATGGGAAAGCTAAACGCAATACTGCCATACAAAACCGCACACAGGTTACGCAAATACTGATCCCTTCAGTGCTCGAATCGCAATAAAACTCATACAATTACAGCTCTTCGAAAACACGGCACTGTTCAAAATCCGCGACAAGATCAGAAGTATGAAGGACAAGGTTTTGAAGACATTGGAGTTAACACCAAAAATGATGAAATCGCTCGAGGAAAGGTTGAAGGTAACATTGACAGTTCACTTCTCTAGACAGAAAGGGTGGCATGAACTTTCCAAAATTCTCCCAGTGGCAGTGGAGTTTGCGTTCAAGAAAGTCATGCAGGGGGTGTGACGGGAACGCCATTGGTGGGTGTTAACAGCTGATAAGGTCTGATAATGGGCGCCTAAAAGATGGTCACCCGGTCCATAGTGCGGTTCACAGCAACAGTGGGACGTTGGTTCCAAGGTATGATAGGGTATGGTAAGTCACCATACTCATAACGCGGGACACAGCATCACCTAGGCGTTGATTCAGCAAATTATATGGGTAGGGACGGCGACGGCGGGTGATAGGAAGTGATAACAGCTGATAGGGCCGATAAGGAACATTGCCGTTGTTGTTCAGTCAAAGTGCTAGAACCTTTACACTATCAATTTATAGAGTTTCAGTGATAGAAGCATTGATGACGAGTGACAGGTAGTCTTATCAATTGATAACAAATGATAGTGTCCTTCGCTGCATCTCCTACCACTGTACTTTATTAGAGGCTCAGTGTGCGAACTTTTAAGCATCACTTTTCCGATAACAGTAGAAAATGAACCCATACCACTATCCTACTATGTAATGATGTGGATGTCGACCGGTGGAGAGGAGTGATGGGTATGTAGTTGGCCGAAACAGGAAACTCGAGAATAACAAAAACCTGAATAATGTAACATGCATCAAATTCTTTATTGGTGAGCTTTCGGCGATAACGCCGTCATCAGACCTTCAAATTACAATACATTACCGGCCTACAGCTACAACATACATCAACATTAGCATTAAAACCTACCAAGGGTGGGAGGGGTGGAGGGGTGAACCTGCCGGTGCGGCGCGTGCGGTATAAATGGGGAAGGAACTGCTCAGCAGCTCTAAGACACTAGGGTCCTCTAATGTCACATTTATCACGCAATGAGTCTTAGGAGGTCACGTAGCTCCTCCCTTGCGTTGATTTCCGGCTTAATGCGGTGGATTTCCCGCGCTTCCATGATTTTTCTCTCGAGCGGTCGTACCAGATGTCTGTGGAGAACACTCACATCGAAGGACGGTGGGTTCTCATCCTCATGTTTAAGAGTACGATGCTTGGAGAACGCGTTGTGTGGGTAGGCAGCGGGATTGGCCAATGCTCTTCTGTGTTCGTCCAAACGAATCTTCAGCGGTCTTCCAGTCTCTCCCACGTACTTTTCTCCACAACCTCTACATCGGACTAAATACACAGTGCCTTTGAGTTCACAGATCTTCTCAGATGAACAGTATCGACATGACTGTTCGTGACACCGATGTTCGTAGATCCGGGAAGAAGTAAGGAGGTCCTTGAGTGTGGGGGGAGGGCGGAAGACGAGTCGGATGGGAAGCCTGGAATTCTTTACCACGCGGTTCACTTCACGTGCCATTTTGTCGTTCACAAAAGGCAGTGTGAGGAGTGACCCGGCCTGTGATCCTATGCGGATCCAAATGTTGAAATTTCCTTCGAAATATCCGTTGCTTGCAAGGATATTTTTGATCTGTGCGTCTACGGATGGGTCCCTTCGTGTTCCAAGTTTCTCCTTCGTTCTGATAAGATTCCGTGCGACATTTCGCCTTCCATATAACATCGATGAGCACTCCTGGATTGGCAACAAATGTTAGAGAGGCCTTTTTCTTATACAAAGGTAGTTTGCCTTGTGCCCTCACGTATGACGGACTTTTGTAATGAGGAATCAGTAAAATCCATCCGTCCTGGGCTTTCTTGGTGAGGTCTATGTTAGCTCGGTGTGAATTCTCTTCAAGGTTCTCACAAATCTTTCACTTGTGTATCGCGATAACAACACGATCATCAATGTACATTTGTGATGATATAATTCCACGTCAATGATGATTTCTCGATGTGATCCAGAAGATGATGCAGCACAGGTGCTGCTTGACGGCTTGCCCATCGGAATGACCTCGTTTTTGCTTGTAAGTGTGTCAAAAGAATGGATGTTGTCAAAGAATGTTGCGTCCGTGCTTGCTTTCGAAAGCTCCTTACAACTTCGCTTGTGTGGAGAATCCCATTAACGAGACGTGATCTTGATTCTCTTCGAGAAGGGATAGGACAGCTTGAACTGCGTCCACATTGTTCACATTTGTGTAAAGGGACACAACATCGAAGCTGGGCAGATGAAAGGCTGCCTGTCGGCACGGGACATTGGTGAAGTGACGCAATAAACTCATTGACGTTGACAATGTGCGCCCCCACATATCGCAGGAGTGGCGAAAGAAGTTGAACTAGTAGCCAACTTAGCCCGTCCGCTGGGCCGCCACATGATGCGATTATCGGTCTTGTTTTGATCTCAGTCAATGGAAGCGACATTGTGTTTCCTACTGCTGGAAGTTTATGCGTCTTCACCAAGTTATACAGCGTTGGCACTGTCGGGGCCGACCCATGCAGTCGTTTTGCCATTTCGGGACTCATTCGTTTTCTTCACTACTTGACATGGGTCACAATTCATGATATTACTCATATCCCTGATTAGGGAAGGCGGTGTTTGCTTATTACCATTTGAACCTGGGGGCAGCTTTATGCTGTCTTTTTGGCAATCGGAAGCGAATTATTGCCCGGGTCAGAATAGGACCACAGTTGCTTCAGAACGGAATGCGACATAAAAGATCATCCCACGTCTACTTGAAAGATGTTTGCAGCCAAGCCCTTCTCACCTCCGCGATGTGGAGTGTATTAATGGCTGTATTAACAGCCCACTTACCACAAAACTGGGATTCTCGTTGTCATTCTTATGAACACGACTACTTTGCTTGCACATGAAAGGCATCACATCAATCGCTTTTCCACCGGCGTAAAATGAACCCTCAGCTTCTTCTTCTGCATTGTCGCCGCCTGCATCTGCCGCCACAGAGTTCCATGCCGATTGCGGTTCGTCATCACACGGTTTCGTAGCCGCTTGCGCAATCTCGCCACATGGCTTCTTAGCCGGTTGCGGTGCCTTACCACATGGTTTTGCACGCGATTGCGGAGCCTCACCACACGGCTTCTTAGCAACTGGCTCATTTAAAGACAATTACCGCGATAAAGTGTTCGGGTAATTGGTGCCCAGTAACGAAGCAGTGGCCCATTTGTAACCCCCCAGTGGAAAAAAAAACCTCGCGAACACCCGGAACACGGACCTCCCTTTAGCAGGGGCGGGGGCCTGGACGAGTGCGCCGGCTGTGGCTGCCGGGATCGGCGGCGGCCGCAATTGCGTCCCGACTTTCGAAATAGGATAATTTTCGAATTCGAATAGGAAATAGGAAACTGCGGAAACAGCTACGCCCCTGAATCGACGGTTGTCGGAGAGGAGAGCTCCGTTTGATCCATCACTTGCGTGTCGAGAAATTCCGGGCATCGATGTCTCGATAAAACGTGTTCCACTCATAATTACAGGTTTTTTTCTGTCAGAGTGGAGCTGGGGAGAACAGAGGAGCTCTTCTCAGTATTCATGCTGTTCTGTTATATTCTCTCCTGCTACGCGCGATGCGGATGCTCTAAGCAACAAGCGGGAGAAACAGACTTTCGTACGTGATACTCATCTCCCCGTGCTTTTTCTTCAATCCTCCCTCACTGCCTTCTTTAGTTTCTTGCCTCTCTCCTTAATATCTCCTATGTATGCTTTTCTAAGAATTTGCGCTTCCAGCCAGCTATAAACAGCTATAAACCAACTTTGGCTAAGTGCCAGAAGGGCCGCGCACGAGACGCGCCGCGCGGGCTTTAAAGGGACGGATGCAGTTCGGGACCAGACGCCTCGTCCACCTACCGTCTCCGTGAGCCTAGCGAGCCTTGTCGAAATTGCGATAACTTCCTCATCGCGCGCCATTGATGGATAAAAGCGGGATCATCTTCATCAAGGCGCAGAGGGTTCCAGAAGGCGCGAAGTCATTTTGAAGGCCTCTCGAGCGCGGATACTGTCTTTAAAGTTTTGGCAACTTGTTTTGTTCTGGAATCCGAAGGGGTTCTGCAGCAGGCACGTCTCGTTTAAATGGAACCTTCTCGGCTTGTGCTCCAAGTTTCCTATCCATAACCCTTTCACTTCTGAAATCGAGTTTGCCGCCCGACTTGTCAGTGAGAAAAACGCTCTTTAGAGCCAAAGCTTGCTCGTTTGTGAGTTCAGGGTAAGCTACTTTGACTTCGGGAATTTTGTCATCATGTGAGGCCTCCTGTGCAGGTTTGGCAGCTTGCGGCGTTTCTGAGTTATCTGGCCCAAGAGTTTGTTCTCCGCTGCCACTCTTGGTAATTGTTTCTTCCGACACTGGAATTTGGTTAGTTTGTAGTATAATTTTTGGACGATAGACAAAAGAAAACGAATACAGGACAGCTTATCAAGTGCGGGTATTCACAGCATCAAAATCGGCACGAAGTTTGTTCAAGAGCTATCGCTTGGGATACGCGCTTGTTATGTTTCTCATCACTTATTGTTGGTAATCACCTGGAGATAGACTGCACACTCACGTGGGCGTTCAATCCTTGTCACGTGAGAAGCAAGTTGACTCCGTGCCGTTTTCTACGCTCAAAAGTGCATGGGAACGGGTTATAAAGTCTTCGTACTAGAGTGGTGCCTCCATTCTCCGTCCGGGTCATCCTCAAACTGCAGCTTACATCAATGCCAAGGTCTTTCAACAAGACACGTATTCGGTGGTACAGAACAACCAGAAGTGAAGGCGCAGACAAGTAGCGCTTTTGGCTATGGCTAGGTGTCTTAATGGCTGTGCGGCAGCGCGAGGCGTAGTATGGAGTCGGCAGTGTATCGCTACCCTTCAGCCCCGTGTCCATGCATTTTTGGCGGAGAAAGAGGCACGCTGCTGATGCAAACCCATTATTCTAACGCACGCCAAGAACCAGGGTCCACGGAACTGAAATACAATTTGTTTTGGCATTACTTTTTCCGGTGTAACTTCAACAGTGGGTTATAGTAGTCATAGTTTAGTCACAAGGGTTTCAAGGTGTGTTTATCTGTCACCCAACATCTGTCCTTATCCTGGCCATGTCCTTTGCCATTTGGCACGGTGCAAGCTGCGCCAATCTACAAAACGCCGAATCAATGACCTTTCTAACACCTGTTATCATGCCGTATCTGTTACTACCACTTTTTATCAGTTCCCATCAGTATCTACGATCTGCTACCGTTTGTTGGGAACAATCTAGCCGTTTTTGGGATGTCCTTATGAATTTGTGCCAGCCGCTCACTGACACGCCTTGCCAGCCCTTATCAATCGTTGTCGTTTCATGTCATCCACCAGCTCGTTCCTTACCTTGGTACCCCCAACCTCTTCTTAGAAAACCAATTCCGCACGTTGCTACAACCGTGCCTCGCCCACCAAACAGACAATGTACAGGGTGGCGAATAATTACGTGCGCGTGACATTTGACTTCGTTTTAATTATTGTATAAAGCATTTATGCATACTTTTTCTTTTTTATTTTATTCATTTGTTGCTTATTATTGGTTTATAGGGAGAAAAAATTGTTTTCCAGACTATGACGAAGGCCTGCCCAAGTCGTGATGCGATTGCACAGTTAGCAAAAAGTGGGACGAAGAACTCAGCAATTTCTTCGAGGCTCGGAATTCCTCTAAGAACCGTCCAGAAGATTGTAAAGCAATGGAAAGTGGAAGGACACGTTCAAATCAAACCCAGAAGTTTTCAGATCAAAGAAAACGGACTGATCAACACCGACAGATGCGCTCGGGATTTAAGGAAGGATGACCGAAAAGATGATCTGAGTTTTGACACAAGATGCCCAAAACAGCTCAAATATTCTCGCAAATATTCGTTACAAAAGATTGCTCTAAAAAATAGTATCTCGACTTTCGAAGTATCGTCTATTCAATAGACAAGTTCTTACCGATCAAGCAAAGCAAAATCGGAAGGAAAAATGCAAGAAATTGCGAGAATTTTTCAAAGTGCGCCGAATTGCGCCGCGCCGAATGCGCCGTGCGCCGAATTTTTCAAAGTGCGCCGAAAAAGACACAAAAAAGACAAAAGTTTTCACTGTTGAAGTGGCTAAAAACTCTCAGAATCATCGTCAACTCCTTAACCCAGCTCTCAAGAACGATCGCAAGCGAAAAATTGCCACAAGAAGTCTGTTCCCTGCAAGTTTAATGGTTTGGGCGGCATCAGTGCCATCCAGCAAGCACTCTCTTGATTTTTATTCGATAAAAAACGTGAAAATTAATGCACACATCGACCAAGACGAGTCCAGACGTGTCGTACAAGAAACAAAATCTCAGACGGTACCATGCCAAAACAATGCCCTGGAAGCAAGAACATCCCAATATTATCTTCCAACAAGACTGGGCACCAGCCCATGGAGCCAAAACAACGATTCACTTCCTGGAGACCAAAATCGGCTCGTTTTTGACAAAGGATTTGTGGCCTATGTTTCGCGAAACAGTCCGATCGGATCCATTGACTTTTCTGTTTGGGGATTTATGGGAAGAGCAACTTAGGAGTCGAAATGTAACAAATCTGGTGACTTTGCGAAGAGAATTGATCAAAATTTGGAACAATCTAGACGTTAACTACCTGCGCCGCACCATCGATTCCATGAAGAAACGAATTAACGCTTGTATCAATGCTGATGGCGGCCACTTCGAAAAATTCTTTGTAATTATAGAATGTTATCGCCCATTGTTATATAAAAATAAATTTCTTTCAAAAATTTGTTGGCAAAAAATAAAATTTGAACGCTTTTTATGGCGCACGTAATTACTCGCCACCCTGTATAGTCTTGATGATGGGCTGAGTGAGTGGTGCTGGATTATGCTCCGCCAGCCCGTTCCGCACCAGCTGTGGAGTGTGTGAGCGAGTCCACTCCAGCAACTGAGAAAACGATTTATACGAACGATATGATGCAGTCTTGTCGCTTGCCGGAAGACTAAACCCATTCTCTGATACGCCCCATCGTACCCAGCAAATAAGACTGTACTTAGCGAATTCTACACCGTGAAATGAGTATCGCTTTCTCGGATACAGCGGGGTACGTCATTGGTCAAGAATTTTAGTCGACTCTATACGAGTCCCCTTTTTTTTGGGAGTCGGTACGACTCCCCCACCCCCAGCCCTGTGTCCTTCCTCATGGAATAGAGCCGTCGAGCGGCTGGGGGGGGGGGGGGGGGGCGTTGGCTATAGCTACGACATGAAGCAAAGGAAAAGGAAAATCACCAAAAGTCAACCGCCACTCCCCACAACGCCAAAACGTGAATACGACCCCCTTCCCTCCCAAGAATGATCAAGTACACCCCTCCCCCCTCTTTACAACGTCCATGAAGCGAGAAAAATCAACTATCAAAATAAATTTCTCTTCAGCTCGCAATATCTCCGACCTCTCTGGCGACAAAATACGAACCCCCCCCCCGTTTGGCGGATTCCCCAATAACGATGAGCCCTCTTCTTAGGGAAAAGGGGGTTTATCAAGCAATGGTGAAACGGCAAGTTATACCATCAGATAGCGCAAAAATTCTCTTCAGGATGTACTACTGAGACGCAAGGGAGAATGAGTTTTTAATCAGCAATGAATGTACAAAAAATAGTAACACAAAACGCTGAAAACTTTCCGGACAACCTAGTACCATTTTGAACCGGGCACCAAATTATCGAGCCATATGCCCTTTAGTGGAGCATGCAGCCACGGAATTTTTGGGATATGCAGGTAACGGCTCCCGACTATCCATTGATTAGCGAAAAGACCAGGGTGATCTTATGGGATCCTCACTCAATCCACTGCTTTACAACAGGATCGAGATCAGTGACTCTAATCCCAGTTATTTTAATCTTTCCTGGATAGCCTCTCCGTAGACCAAGTAAGTTCAAACACTGCAAGTTGCCCGTTGGAGCGGAAGGGGCTGAAAAACGACTATGGTCACAAGGTTCTTCGGCGACTACTAACAGACGCATGCGATTGTAAATACTGGTATGTACTGATACTTGTACAGTGCTCACTTGCGCTTAATTCTTCATCCAGGTAGGGTGGAACAGTAGCATCGTCCCTGCTTCGAACTCCTGAGAACCCTATTCAAACCGGAAAGGCCTTCCATGCATCTTAACTCAGACAAATGGTGCCAGGATTGTCTAGAAGAAGGGGAAGCGGATTAATAACATGTGCCTCCACAGTACTTCGGCCATTGTAGAAGCTTAATTGGGCAGCACTGCGATCTTATTCTGGGAGTGGGGGTGCGTGGTGCATCCTTATACGAGACACTTTTTTAGTTCTTCTACACTCCTTATCGGCATTAATAATTCTTCTTGAAAGAAGGCTTAAGCATTTCTAAAAGTTCAAAGACTTGAACACGCTCATACCTACTCCAAGAACATTCTAGATGTGAACTGGGCTTCTCCTAGAACAATGATTAGTCAGAGTTAAAGACTGAAGGGATTAGAGGGTTTTTACAACAGAAACCTGCGATGCATTCAGCTGAAGATTACGTGAGTTCCGCCTCGCTGAATTCCCCCCAAGTGAATGCCACGGTCTCGATGAAAGTGCTAATCCTTGGAAAGCCTAGCAGAAGCTGCGCAGTGGCAAAAAAATCTCGGAAATTATTTTGGTACTACTCACCTTTTAGCGCTACAGTCTTCCTAAACTATGCCAGTTTTTTGCTGCTACCTTTTTTACGGGCAGATGTTGATGATAAGCTTACGGTCTACGGACAGCTCGAACTCAGTTCCTTTAAACGCGTCGAATTTCTGTTTTTTCTGCTCTCTAGCTCGTCCGCGTGGCACTCTATGGTCATTGTGACTTCGCACATTCCAGCTTTTCACGTATGATAAGTGGCTCACCCACCCCGGAGTCCCGTCCCTTTGAAAAAGCTCTTTTTTGGCTTGCCACAGTTTCTTGCACGTCTCAACGCTTTGGAGGAGATGCCCTCTGTCTGCGTCTCTTGATTTTGCAACAGGACCAAGCGCAAAAGTTTGAACTTGTTGACTTATTGTAATTTCATCATGACCCGTTTGTATAAATAACAATTTCGCTGATAAATCCTCGAGAACTGATCTCTGATAAGCCCAAGACCGTGGAAAAACTTAGATTGCTTTAGTGTTAGCAGAGCTCATGGTTATAGATGGGACTTGCTCTTCTCATGGTTGTACGTGAGGTATACTCGAAATCCCTGAGATTGGGTAGGCGTGGCTGCGTACTTGATTTTAAACGGGCCTGGTCCGTCTCAGGGATAAGGAATATACTATATGGCAAGGGTCAGGACATACAAGATGCAACGGAACTCTACCAGCTCGGCAGACGGTCGAAATGTGAGGGCAATAGGGGCCGTGGCTGCGAGGGCAGCCAAAGTGCAGAAGGGAGAGCATGGACGTGTGTAGAAGAGAAAATGGTGGGGATCCGCCGTTTCTTCGCTTTCGGATATGAGCGATATGCACTAGGGGGAGGGGGGGGGGCTGCAAGATAAACCGTTACTTCTTTCGTTAGCCTTCGTCAGTCGCACCAGGTTTGCGCATCATCAGGAATCTCCATCAAATTTCCTGCCCCAGCCCCCCCCCCCCTGTTCTAACAAAATAAGGTGTTCAAGGTTACGCATCAGAAGCAAGACGCGGTTCATCACCATCTCTTGATTGATCAACAAGAAGGTATTTCTATCAAGGAGCATCCACAAGTTCTATATCAGACATTTCTTCATGGAGCAATTATCGTATTATCGTACTTGAACAGACAGTCCGCGTTGATCATAAAGGCGGAGACACCTAATCGGTACACTTTACAACAGTGTGCACCCCATTCTACAGGGTGGCGAATAATTACGTGCGCGTGACATTTGACTTCGTTTTAATTATTGTATAAAGCATTTATGCATACTTTTTCTTTTTTATTTTATTCATTTGTTGCTTATTATTGGTTTATAGGGAGAAAAAATTGTTTTCCAGACTATGACGAAGGCCTGCCCAAGTCGTGATGCGATTGCACAGTTAGCAAAAAGTGGGATGAAGAACTCAGCAATTTCTTCGAGGCTCGGAATTCCTCTAAGAACCGTCCAGAAGATTGTAAAGCAATGGAAAGTGGAAGGACACGTTCAAATCAAACCCAGAAGTGGAAGAAAACGGACTGTCAACACCCGACAGATGCGTGGGATTATTAAGAAAAGGATTGACCGAAAAGATGATCTGAGTTTGAACAAGATGGCCAAACAGCTCAATATTTCTCGCAAATCTGTTCAAAATGATTGTAAAAAATGAGCTAGGACTTCGAAGTTATCGTCTGTTTAATGGACAAGTTCTTACCGATCAAGCAAAGCAAAATCGGAAGGAAAAATGCAAGAAATTGCGAGAATTTTTCAAAGTGCGCCGAATTGCGCCGCGCCGAATGCGCCGTGCGCCGAATTTTTCAAAGTGCGCCGAAAAAGACACAAAAAAGACAAAAGTTTTCACTGTTGAAGTGGCTAAAAACTCTCAGAATCATCGTCAACTCCTTAACCCAGCTCTCAAGAACGATCGCAAGCGAAAAATTGCCACAAGAAGTCTGTTCCCTGCAAGTTTAATGGTTTGGGGCGGCATCAGTGCCTCAGGCAAGACTCCTTTGATTTTTATCGATAAAAACGTGAAAATTAATGCACAAGTCTACCAAGAAGAGATTCTCAAGAAAGCTGTGGTGCCCTGGAAGCAAGAACATCCCAATATTATCTTCCAACAAGACTGGGCACCAGCCCATGGAGCCAAAACAATGCCCTGGAAGCAAGAACATCCCAATATTATCTTCCAACAAGACTGGGCACCAGCCCATGGAGCCAAAACAACGATTCACTTCCTGGAGACCAAAATCGGCTCGTTTTTGACAAAGGATTTGTGGCCTGCGAACAGTCCGGATCTGAATCCATTGGACTTTTCTTTTGGGGATTTATGGAAGAGCAACTTAGGAGTCGAAATGTAACAAATCTGGTGACTTTGCGAAGAGAATTGATCAAAATTTGGAACAATCTAGACGTTAACTACCTGCGCCGCACCATCGATTCCATGAAGAAACGAATTAACGCTTGTATCAATGCTGATGGCGGCCACTTCGAAAATTCTTTGTAATTATAGAATGTTATCGCCCATTGTTATATAAAAATAAATTTCTTTAAAAATTTGTTGGCAAAAAATAAAATTTGAACGCTTTTTATGGCGCACGTAATTACTCGCCACCCTGTAATACGCCTGAGACAAAACGTGCTTCAATGAGGAAGACACTCCGGCAGGATGTCTCTGAAGATGCGACGAACTTTCAAAACCACGGAACACTGCACGAATGCCCATCGAAACCCAAATGGCATGGTTAAAAGTTCCGCTGGGTCGAGCTTGCTGGAACAAAAAACATTGTGCACTACGTGAAAAGAAAGCCTCCCATTTTTCAACTTCTGGCAGGACGAGGGCCAGCAGTAATAACTGGGTTATTCCCTCAAGCATATGTGGAAAAATGATACGCATTCCGTTAATCGGTGATTAGTCGACGTTTATAGCTGATACGCAGCCCGAGGGAGACGTCAAGAAATGTGGAGAACCCAACCGCGGATGCACCTCGCACCAAATGTGGCCGCTTCAGGTACAGAGCAACTAAAAGTGCGATGGGCTCAGTTCAGGCTACTGACACAACCCCGTCGGACTTTGATAGTGTCAGTAGTTTGGAGGATCCTCCAGCTCCACTCTTCTTGCAACCTCGGCTTCAGTAGCTGCCGGACATTTCCGTTTAAACGGTGAAACCAATGATGGTCTTTTTGCAAAACGGGCGTCTTCTTCAGGGGCTCCTGACAGGATGTCGGAACTGCTACAATGACGAGGCGCTTAGTGGAGCAGGTTGTAAACTAAGAATTGGAGCATGTTCAGACCTCTGAAGAAGACGATTAGGTGGAAATGTTAGGCCGCTGTATAATTGAGTCCCACCTAACAGCCTCGCAAGGTGCAATATAAATGCTTACAAATATCAACAATATGTTATTTACTGGATTCTACTATACTAGTCCTTACTGGTTCTCCTGGTTCTTTACTGGTTCTCCATTGACGTAAATAGAACTTGTCCTGGTGGTGGGGACATTTTTGAAAACATGACCACCTGCATACAGTATGTGACTTATTGAGCTTGTGGCCAAGGTTGGTAAATATTTTATTAACGGTTGACGTTTCGGCGTCGTCGCCTTCTTCGGAACCTGGAAAGTCGAAAAACATTCAGGAAACCCTTCGTCCAAACACTATTTCAAGCTACAGGAAAATTCCAAAAGGGACGTAAACTACTAAGACGATGTCATAGAGCCCTGATAAACTGACCTTTAAGCAGTCGAACCACGGAGGTCCACCTGTCACCCCTAACTGGTAATAATGCGGTTTAAATAGGGTGACCCTCGGGACCACTTGCTCAAGGGGCCTCTAAAGGTCGATCACGTAGATCAAACAACTCTAAAGGCCACCATTGAGTACCTGCGCCGCCGACCCGCAATTAACCCCTACTATCGATTACTGTATAAGCCCCCGACCTCACCGCCAGGACCCCGCGGGGGATTGACCGCGTAGGTCAAAACCCACAGAGGTCCGCGAAGGGTGCGAGCTCTGCAGTGACCGCCACACACTCTTCCCTAGGGGCGAGGTCCGGCGGTTGTTTGATCTACGTGATCGACCTTTAGAGGCCCCTTGAGCAAGTGGTCCCGAGGGTCACCCTATTTAAACCGCATTATTACCAGTTAGGGGTGATAGGTGGACCTCCGTGGTTCGACTGCTTAAAGGTCAGTTTATCAAGGCTCTATGACATCGTCTTAGTAGTTTACGTCCCTTTTGGAATTTTCCTGTAGCTTGAAATAGTGTTTGGACGAAGGGTTTCCTGAATGTTTTTCGACTTTCCAGGTTCCGAAGAAGGCGACGACGCCGAAACGTCAACCGTTAATAAAATATTTACCAACCTTGGCCACAAGCTCAATAAGTCACATACTGTATGCAATATTATCATGCCAAGGTTCATCGAAAGTCGAACGTGGAGGATGACCACCTGCAAAAGTGTGGAGGAGGTTCTCCCCCGATGGACTGTCAGAAATGGTAAAATTGACGGGGTATCCACTAGGGCTCGATTAATCAAGCGAAGGGGTATAACGCGCCAAAATGGAAAAATCAGCTATAAAAAAATTGCTAGTCCAGGTGTGACCTCTTCTCGCGTGAGGTACAAAACACGGCAATTGCACGAGTGAGCCTGAAGCAGCCAGTGATACCTTTCACCATTAAGCCGTCCCTGAGCCCACTAGGGGCAGGGTAGTTGGGCCTTGGATGTTCAAACCACTTTCGCGGTCGTAAACCCTTATGCTGGCAGGGAATCATGACAGTATACGTGTTGGGAATTACCGCATTCCTCATTGATAAGAAATATGCATGCGGGACTGTTTTTTGTCAACTCATAATTTGAAAAACACGCCATCGGTTCTTGACGGAGCTTATGTTAAACCTGTAGCCTCGGCATTACCGTAAGAAGGTCGACTTCTGCAAACGTGCCCTGATAGCGGAAAATATCATTGAATCAATAGCTCAAGTGTTCAACACTGCACTCGGCTATCAGTTTCCCTTATAGTGCTTCTGGCCAGTGGAAGGGACATGGTGGTTGGCCAATAATCTCGTAATTTAATTTTTTTTTTTTTTTTTATTGCTGATAACCTCTACTTTTGGGTTCTGCTCTGAGTTTTTCAAAAGAAATCGGTTTTTATCTTTTGGACAAAAATAACTCCTAAATGTGACATCCCTGCGGTATTGAAATGGTTTGGTATTGACGAAGCAGTATTTGGTCTGTATTATTCGATCAACCACTGGCCCATGTTGGTGTGCAGCCACCTGACGCATGGCCAAAACCCTCGCAACCACGGTGGCCCCGCCACCGCCACTTCTATGGACTCACCCTTTTCTTCAAAGCGAAGTACCGCCGTCCATGTGATAGAAAGCTGTTCTGCTCATGTGGTGGATTACTAGCTCGTTTTAGCAGGAAGGGTTAACGGTTCTGAAAGCAACCTTGAGCCTCATTAGGCTTCAGAGAGCGACGACCTGGCCAAAACACTGGGCTATCAGCGAACTGGCGCAGTACGTTAACAGTTTTGGTACAAAAGTAGTCCAAGGGCCGCATCGCATCATTTCTGCGCAATTAGGTGGCTTCAATAGTCTGTTAGTTATGTGCTTTGACTAGCAGAAAGGATATAGAAGAGGTAGAAGTGTAGTCTCCCTCAACTACTTTTGCACGACAGATCCTAAGTTCCTGGACTTTCTCACCTCTTAACATTGTTTTCTCATAATTTAGTTCCTGAACCATTCACTGTGAAGCAGAGTCAGGCGGCGCCGTCTACAAGCCAAGATGCGAGATCGTTCGTTTTCTAGGACAATCATTCCTCCATTCAGTGTTTTTCTTACTTCGGACGATTAAATGAGCGACTTATACGCAGCCTGCAACAGAGGACCCGCCTGCTGCAGCCCAGAATGGTATTGTTCAAGGGGTATGATCGATCACTTTTTATTCTTTTATCTTGCTAAGGCATAGGTGGTGTAGTTACAATTAGCACGTTTACCACCCGCGCGGTCCTGTGTACGAAAATCACCACCTGCGCGGGGCCGTGTTCAAATCCTTGTTCGACTCCCGCCCAGGCCAACCAAGCCTTCTACCCTCCGGGGACGGTGAATTGGTACCAGATTCGTCTGGGAGGATAAAACACTGACTTGTACATCGGCTGGCCACCGCAAGTCATTGTATAGGCCACATCGATTCTGAATGGAAGTAGAATGCGTGCCGCATCCAACAAAGGAGTTGATCAGAAGCTGGAGACTTTATCCTTTTTTATTCTTGCCAACTGTGCCCATGGAACAATTCCCGGATCCAACCGAACTTTCCAGCCCTCCCTGCACTTCACTGTATGGAAAGTGCCATTACACAGAATAAATGATAAACTTTCAACGTCATTGTTTGCCTTTTTGCTTTTACGTCCACTGCTATTGATAAGGGCTATCTATCACAAACAGCGTCCATCTGCCCAAGGGAACACTTTACTAGTCTCTGATATCTCTATACGGGTTCTTCTTTTCTGCCAGGAAAACTATCTCGGTTTTTCTTCTGTCTTAAAATTATCTTTCGATCCTGTTTACCCTTCATTCTTCCACTCTTAGGTCAAATTTACACCGAACTTGTTTCGCGGACGTAAATCTGCCTAGAATTATTTCCTAGTTTCAAAGGGGTTTGTGACAAGACAATCGTAGTATGTCGCCCTGGTGGGCGTGGCAAGCGACGCCGCGCCCGCGGAGACGAGTTGTCCTGCCCGATCATTCAAATTCGAATGTCGAAGGAAAGGGATTGGTTGCATCACTCGGCATGAAGCCTTTCGTCTGCTCAAACTCAGGACTAATTTCAAATATCGTACCCCCCCCCTCTCAGTTCATTTAATTGTTTCCATTTTTATCCGGGAGAAAAAACAAAACAGGGAGATCAGTGGAGACCTATTGAAGGTATGAATATTGATCTAATATGAATTCAATCCGTTTCCTAAGGGCCTTTATATGAAAGATGAAACGCAACTGGCGTGGCTGCGCACCCTTACCTTAACTCGGCCCTGAAAGTGAAGCAACTGTGTACAGACGTGTGTCTTGCTGTTTCTTGTCTCTGTCACTCCCTTCCTCGTCTCTTTGTCGCCTGATGTCTCGCCTAAGCGCCAGCTTTCTCCATCATCAACAAGCATTATGCTAAAAATCTGTGAGCTGAGAGGGTGAGAAGCGGTTCTGGAGCCGTAAGCCACCCAATTACACTTGAAATCCTTAAGATGGGTAGGCGTGACTGCTTACTTCAACCAAACGTGGCGATGGCTGTGCTTTCCGAGAGATATTTTTCGTTCGACACAATTAGGATCGTGGTTGTCTCAAACTGAAATATCCCACGAGTAACCAGTTCTGTGCCATGTTCGAATGCCACGCCTACTCCGTCTCAGGGATAAGGAGTACAGCTTTGGGTGCGGGTTCGAGTTCCACCTGCGGTCAGGACTTTTGTGCCTAAACTCAGATTTCTTTGATAGATAAAATATCTGCGTTCGGAGAAGAGACTTCTTTCACCTTTGGGGCATTTTTGCCTGATTTATTACTTGACTCGCAGCTAATTACCACGTCTAGTTCGAGACCCTTCTAGCTTCTGTCTTAGAACGTGTCTTTACCAACGACTGATTTAGCATCAAATGAATTTTTATGGCACACTTCGAAATTTGATCCATCATGCTCTCTCCCTTATACACTCGAGATCCCTGAGATCGGGTAGGCGTGGCCGCATGTTTCAACTTATCCTTAAGGCGTCTACGCTTCTGATGCGATATTTTCATCTCGACACAATCGTTGTCGTGTCTCTGTCCAACACAGAACAAGATGACAGTTGTCCCAGACTGGAATATTCCACTAGTAACCAGTTCTTTACAGTGTTCGAATGCTCCGCCTACCCGATCTCAGGGATTTCGAGTATACTTAGTCACGCAAATAGATGAACATTACGGCTGCGAATAGCATAATCCCAATTAGTCCTACGTCAGCCCCGATAAGACTTGTTAGACACTGAATGGGAAACCCTACGTGAGGAGCGCAGGGTGCCTGCTCAGCAATATGTGAATACAGCCAATAACCAGTGGAAGGATGGACTTGATAGACGCATTCCTGGAATGCGCGGAATTCTAGTCAAAGCCATAGTAGCACTTAGCAAGTATTCGGCCCCCACAATGACCTCACTGGGATCAGACAGCACCTCTGTCAATGTATATTCCCAAGGCCTGATGTTAACTAAATGGTCATGGACTGAATATGTAGCTTTTTTTGGACTAAGCTCATCCCAGACTTGATCCCAGGACCTTTCTTTTGGTAGATTCTTCCTCTTTGGTAAATCGTGAATATTCGCGACTGTCGTCTCGACAAACCCGTATAAGCTCCATGATAACATGTTCTTTCATTATCATCTTCATCAGGTGTGTGACTGGAGATCCCGTTGGGGCTGACGGTACAATTTAGCCAAGACATCCTAGCAAGCTGACCCGAAATGCGCCTCACATCTTCGAGGCGCGGTAGCGTGGCTGCCCGATTGCTTCATTTTATATTAGGTTGTCCGGAAAGTTCTCAGCGTTTTGTGCACCTATTTTTTGTACATTCACTGCTGATTAAAAACTCATTCTGCCTTGCTTCTCAGTAGCACATCCTGTAGAGAATTTCTTGCGCTATCTGATGGTATAATTGCCGTTTCACCATTGCTTGATAAACCCCCTTTTTTCAAGATTTTTCAAGCGCCATGTTGAAAGCAGCACCTCCAGACAGTTTTCTTCGACTGTTAAATTTGGTCGGCAATTCCGCAATCGAAACAGCTCCAACAAATTAACCAGAGTGTGTGGGGGCCCAATAGTGCTAGAGAAAGCACTGTGCGGCAATGGCTCAACAAATTTCGTTCTGGAGATTTCAGCCTTGAAGATGAACCTCGACCTAAAGCAATATCTGACGAGGATTTTAGGGGGATTTTGGAGGCTGACCCATCCCAAACAGTTCGAGGAGATAGCCAGCAAAAGCCTACTGGCGTGGCAAAGTCCACTGTTGAGATGGTCTAGGAACGCATTTGGGAGGCGAGGCCCGCGCTGTGAAAAACTCGACAATTTGCGGTGGCCCCACAATCGGAGTGACAGCGCCATGAATCGCCACATCTCGAGGCTTCCCCCGTCTGCCATTGCTTTGCGCAGCAGAAACGACCTGTTTTTGGAAAGAATTTTGTCACCTGTGATGAAAAATGGGTCATGTATGATAACAGGAGACGTTCCGGACAGTGGTTGGATTTCGACGAACCACCGAGGTAATTTTTAAAGCCGAACCCTCACGAAAAAAAGATTCTGGTCACGGCTTGGTGGTCATCGGCTGGTGTGATCCACTATAACTTTTTATCACCAGGCCAAACCATCACAGCAGAACCCTACTGTGAAGAAATCGACGAATTGTACCGAAAATTTTGTCAGATGCAGCCAACACTTATCAAAAGAAAGGGTCCGATTCCTTTGCATGACAACGCCCGCCCACACGTTTCACAAATCACTATCCATAAATTGAACGAATTGGGGTTGAAGTTCTACCTCAACCGCCATATTCTTCAGACCTTTCACCAACCGAATTTCCTTTTCAAGCCATTTTTAGTAGAATTTTCTTGTCCTGGGAAATAACTTCATAAGAGACCAGGCAACAAAGGCCTTCGTGATTTTTGTGATATTTTTTTCGACCACCCAGTTTTTTGCTTTTGATGGGATTTCTTGACTGCTGTTACATTGGCAAACGTGTGCTGATTCGAATGGTGCCTATTTCGGTTAAATCCGATGAGTATTAAAAAAGTTACGATCGTTTAAAGTGAAACACCCAAAACGCTGAGAACTTTCCGGACAACCTAATACATGACATAGGACAAGTTATTCGACATTTATTTCGAATTTGAGACAGACCGTCAGCCTTTTCCTTTGTACGAATAGAAATATGATTACCTTTTCCTTCCGAAGCGAAAATATTCCACTGGAATTGCAGTCAACTCCACGTTCAAGGAAGATGCAGCCACCCCCCCTTCGCATCCCCGGGATTCACACTACACCACGACGCTTCCAAGTTAAATCAATAAGACTCTGGTGCAAATGCCGCGCACGTGATGCCAGTGGCAAGACCTATTCACCGCCGCGTCGCAACAACGTGGATCTCTCAACCGGCTCTTCGCCCACGTCGACAACTTGTGTGCAGGAGGGCTGCTCACAGATTACTTATGAAACGATATGCCATATTCCAGAATGCGGGCTGGAACTCTTCTAGTGATCACAGTTTGTGCGCTGTTACTCATTTCATCCTTCGAATGCAAAAAGCCGTCAAAGGATTCAAAGTACAAGTAGCTCTTTGCTGTTTGCTCAACCAAGGAATCTACTACCCTTCATCGATGTCTTTGCAGGAAATCGAAGGATAAGCAGTACAAGGACAAAAAAGGAGAGACCAAAATCGAAAAGCAAAAACCACAAAAGGTATGATAAAAAGTACACCACAAAAAAAGCGATGTAAGTGGAAGAAAACTGAAAGTGTAGCCATAGTTGAGAAGCTTATCTACGCGAAAAGACGTTTGAAGACACTTCCCGCGATCAAGTGGTCCGCGAAATGCCTCCGTGCATTTGGCATCGTTGTCCGCATTCGCAGAGAATATACCACTTTCGTCACTCGAAACGGCGAGATAAAGAAGCTAGAGACGCGTGATTATTGCAACCACGATTACTTTCACTCTGCAAGACAACGGCTTACAAGCGGAATTGCGTGTGTACATAGCGTTGCCTGGAGCGTCGTAGGGTGATTTCCTGTGCTCTTGCCGGGAATTGGTTGCACGTTGTTCCTGCTGATGGGACTTGCCAACGTCCGACAAATTCGTCCAAGGAGGTGGCCCTGCTGTCAAAGGGTCTCTATTCAGAGTGCTATCAAAGTTTTCATTCGCTTCTTTCTTTGATGGAGAGCTACTCAACGGTCTAACTTTTGCAAGTCACTTGATCGCGAAAATCGTCTTTAAAACACCAGGGAGAAGTTCAAGTCCAAAGATTACATCAGGGAGAAGTTCAAATCCCAAGATTCACAGGTCCGCGTGGCATATTCAGTATGGTACTCCATCGCTGAAGGATGTGCTTTGATGTTGGAGTAAGCATTTCGACTAACGATCTTGGGAGAACTCCTCCTCCCCCCCCCCTTCCCCTCTCAATAAGGGCTCATACATATTTTGAGTGCGGCTGATGCTGTTTCGCGTTCCCAGCGAAGCCAGGTGCCACCATTTAAACAAAATTCCCAGCTATTGTGGGTCCGACTCACAACAACTGACTATCTATTCACGCCTAGAAGCCAAGTCCGTACGGTCAAGAGAATCCCTTGTATATTGCTGGAAATTTGCATCAGGGCATGCCATCAGCCTGTGGAAAATCTCTGCAAAATACCCAATCCCCAAGTGTGAACCTGTGCTACGATCTTCTTCCCATCATACCCACCATCTTCCTTGCACGTTTTTTGTTTTCATGAAGAGCGCGGAGTTTCCGGCACCACAAACATGTTAGCAGGGGGGACGGGGCATGAAGCAGGAAAGGTCACCGTTTACAGGAAATTTTGCCAAGGCCAAATACGACGCCTCTCTGAACAATGGCCAAGTATACCCTAGTTAGATCCGAGCTCTCCCCAATGACTGGTGAAGAACAGATTTGGCACCGCGCTAAAATCGTCACACGCCTCTTCCTTCGCAGCGAAGTAACGCAAAAAGGCTATATAACCGTCATTGCGATTTATCCAGCGGATGGCGAGCCCTGCTCTGGTCGGTCTGGGGTCACGTACAACTTCTTCATCTGAGTTATACTGGGAACCTTATCGAATTTTGATTTTCTGCTCCTGACTGTACTCTCCCGCAGATAGATTCTAAGAACACTGTCACCTGCGTATTCTGACCAGTCACGCTTGAAAATAGGGTCACCCACCTCGGAACCTTCCTCGAAGTGCTCATCCCAAGTTCTTCCATGCTCACGTTGCAGCATTTCGCTGCACGACCATTAAAGATAGCCTGGAACTTCCTGTCAGTTGCCACGCTTAGAAAACGCCCTATTTAATCTACTTAGCGCCTTTCGGACGACGTCCGACGTAGAGGCGACGCATGCCGTCTGATTGCGCTGATAAGATGGTTTGATGCGTGAAAAGAGCAACAAAAGGAGAACTTACAGAGCGCTAATGTAGTCATCGATCCTGAGTTTTAACTTCAGAAAATTCTTTGCTCAGATGAACTAACCCGCTAGATGAGTTGCACAGAATTTTCAGGTAGAAAAAGTCAAAGCAGAGAAAGCGGAGAAAGTGGAAAAGCAGCAAGAACCAGAGGAAATCGAGGTTGATGAAGTGATCATCGAGGCTCCAGAGGTCAGCAACCCGGCCAAGAACAATGCCAAGGTAGTGAAAGAATCATGCCATGATCTCAAAAATCACTTCAAATGGTTCAGTGATTCCAGGAACAAGTACATGTGCACGCAGCCGAGTCACTGGTGGACACCATAAACCATCAACAACGCAAGCAAATTATCAGGCCGAAGTCTCTCAGGGTACAGTTTCTTGCGAAGATCTTCAAAGATTAAGGGGCGAGGGTGAGGGAAGGAGGGGGCAATTTGCACTTTTGCTTGTTTCTGTTGCCAGCTCTTGCTATATTAGACATTTCACCTTGCTGAGACTTGTAGACCCTTGCTGAGCATGAACGAAGCTCATGCTGTCGCATAGCTTTGCAGGAATTCATAGGTCTTCTCAGAGGGAATCTATCCTGATCGATGGGGGAAGCAAAATGCCCCCCCCCACCATGCCGAAGCTCGCATTAAAAGTTAAAAACCGACCCAGCTCCCATCCCCGTTAACTCTAATTTTCGAATGAGTGAATATGTAGAAAGAAGGGTAAAATCTGTAACTGCCGCGCACTGGAATCGTTTGCGCTGCATTAGTATTGCGTGATGCGGTATCCAACTGTCCTGTACCATCATTGTTGAGAATGTACTAGCAACTTCACAAAGCCCGGTATTTTATAGTTGGTAAGGTCAATTCCGCCCATGGCTGTGTAAGGAGCTGATAGCCCATCTGCTTGCTTTTCCACGCAATGCGTGATGGTTTGATGATAGATTGAGATAAAAAATCCAGCTTGGCAATGGCCACTGTGTCATTCAATGGCTCCTGGCTCCGCCGCCCGATAAATACGGCAATATCAATTGTAAGGCATCGCTCAAACTAAAAACTAATAACTCGAACAAGTACCAAGCTCCTGATCACACAGATCTCTCGTATATTAGGTTGTCCGGAAAGTTCTTAGCGTTTTGGGTGTTTAACTTTAAACGATCATAACTTTCTTAACACTCATCGGATTTAATCCAAATAAGCACCATTCGAATCAGCACACTTTTGCCAATGTGGACAGCAGTCGAGAAATCCCATCAAAGAAAAAACTGGGTGGTCGAGAATCCACGAAATCTGCGAAGGTCTTTTTTGCCTGGTCCTGTTTGATGAAGTATTTCTCAGCAGGAAAGTTCTGAAAATGTCTGAAAAGGTGACAGTCGGTTGGTGAAAGGTCTAGAGAATATGGTGGGTGAGGTAGAACTTCAACTCCCAATTCGTTCAATTTATGGATAGTGATTTGTGAAACGTGTGGGCGGGCGTTGTCATGCAAAGATTCGGACCTTTTCCCCCCTTTTTGATAAGTGTTGGCTGCAGCTGACAATATTTTCATTTGGTCGGTTTGTTCACAGTAGGGTTCTGCTGTGATGGTTTGGCCTGGTGATGAAAAGTTATAGTGGATTACAACAGCCGATGACCACCAAACCTGACCAGAATTTTTTTTCGCGAGGGTTCGGCTTTGAAAATTACCTCGGTGGTTCCTCCAAATCCAACCACTGTCCGGAACGTCTCCTGTTATCATACATGATCCATTTTTCATCACAGGTGACAAATCCGTTCAAAAACGGGTCAATTCTCTGCGCAAACAGAGTGAAGAAGAACTGCGAAACGTGCGCGATTCCTGTCCGCACTCCGATTGGGCAGCCCATTGTCCAGTTTTTCACGCTTCCAATGCGTTCCATGTGACCATTCTCGCAACATTGGTATTCTGCACAACGCACGTAGCTGCTTCTGTCTATCTCTCGATAACTTTTTTTGTCTTTGGGATTCTAGAGAGCCTCCGACATCCCCTCACAATCTCGTCCGAATTGCTTAGGTCATCCTTATGAGGTTCATTTTCAAAGCGAATCTCAGAATGAAAATTTGTTGAGCCATTCTGCGCAGCAGTCTTTTCTTCTAGCACTATTGGGCCTCCACACCTGGTTAATTTGTTGAGCTGTTTCGATTGCGGATTGCCCCAATTTATAGCCGAAGAAAAAAATCGTCCGAAGTGCTCTTTTCACATGCTTGAAAAAATCTTGAAAAAAGAGGGTTTATCAAGCAATGGTGAACGGCAATTATACCATCAGATAGCGCAAGAATTCTCTACAGGATGTGCTACTGAAGCAAGGCAGAATGAGTTTTTAATCAGCAGTGAATGTACAAAGATTAGGTGCACAAAACGCTAAGAACTTTCCGGACAACCTAATAGCAAAGTAGCATGTGA